GTGGAGAAAAATTATGCTATGGACCAGCTTAGATTCTATTTCGTATAACATATTAAATAGATTCCCTTGAGTCAAGAAAGCCTCTTGGTGACTATAGAGAATCACAAAATTGGAAGGGGCAATTAAGTCAACCCTCTTAAGTGGAAAGAACATTTTATAAATGATAGAAGTCAGGAGTGTACACTGGATTCGGATCAACCATGTATCCTGAGACAAAATGTGGTAATTTGGAATGAACTTCAATTTTCCTGACAAAGAAGGAGGCTCTGAACTTGACATTGTAATTCTGGGCTTCCACAAAACTGCAGCTTCTATCTGTGGCCATAGTGACACTTAAACAGTACAAACTGCCATGACAGGAACAGCGCTAAAACAGAACAAAAGGCAAAACCCAATTTCCTGTTATTTATATAATTTAGGGCTGGGCAAATTTTTCACAAGCGGTGCTTTGGAACACGCAGGACCTTGTATAAAGCACCTTTTAAAAAAATGTTAAAGCAGTTGTGTCTTTTTAAAGGCTTCATTCCATGTGAGTCAGAATCAACAACAGGACTAGAATCCAAAACTACACTGGCAGTGACAGGAGAGCTCTAATGCTGCGAGATGAAGAGGAAGACAACCTCATAACTATACAAATATGTGGTGTTTATTATTGAGGAAATGATGGGAAAGGAGAATCTTTTCGAAAGTTGCAACTGTTCCCACAAGGGAGTTAGCCATAGCACTTCCACAGTGCCAGAAGAGGAGAAAGCACCAAAGTTACAATGCTACTATAAATGTACTTATTACTTCAATGTCAGTTAAAGAAGGCCATCCTGAATCCAGGCTCATTCTTGGATCAGCTGCCAAGAAATTAGCCAACAGAGTTAGGAGTTTAAATCATTTCAAAGCAGTGATATATCAGGGGAGAAGGCAGATTAGTACAGTACTAGCAATTTGCTGGGTTTGAAAACCAGGTTCTGTTACTAACAATAGAGACAACAAGCCCAGAAGAGGCAAGATTATGGGAGAGGAGAGACAGCAGCCCCTTCTCTTAGCTTTTTCCTCTACTCTTCTTGAATAAGTGGAGACACTCGTGGCGACATTGGACAGGGAAAATATGAGTTCACCAGGTGGCAATTCCTGTTCACATCACCACCAGGATAGATAAAATGTTGGTACTCGATAAGCAGCTGGGATGGAGTCATTCCAGTTCCAGTGCTTGATTCGGTAGGTGGTTTTAGAGTATATGTGGCTGCCACTAGCCAGGTGATTGATGTCAAGCCAGTAAGGGGAAATGGCAGTTTAGCTGCAGAATGCAGAGTACAAGTTTGATATTTGGAACACCATATATTCCACACTCTAGTGTCTCTTTACAATCTTACAGATTGCCCATCTGCTTCCTCTAACACCAATGACTTTCTATCTCTGTGCAGTGCCAGCCTCCAACCTCTACCACAAATAACCTGCCAAATTGTCATAATGAACCTATGTACAAATCCACAACTAATCTAGCTATAAGTCCTGAAGTAGAATTAGCATAAGTTCATTGCTTATATTTCTTCACTTATCACAGGCATTATGTATCATAGGCACTATCATCACTGCAATGTTTATTACATTATGTTCCAAACGGGTCTGAAGTAAACCCACAACTAATCCACAACTAATCCAGAATATTATCTAGTTGTTAGAACAATAACAACAACAGAAACCTGACAAGCTCTCAGTTCCCAATGATCAGATCTACTAGAAGAGAATATACATGGCTCAGGGTTGAACTGTGGAGTTCTTGGTGCTCTCTGAGCTTGGTTGTTTACTTGCAGACATTTCAGTACCCTAGTTGGGTAATGAAATATATCAAGCAAATAACCAAGCTCAGAGAGCACCAAGAACTCCACAGATCGTATCTACTGATATTCGCCTCTATCACAATATAGCCCCCATCCACCAACTTTGATTTCCCCAGCCAGAGTTTTCAGTGGGTGCAGACATATTTGGCACTGAGAAGACAACCTTTGTGACATTCTATTCTACAGTTCCCAGTCCTGAGAGTTTGTGTGATTTTATTCTGAGGTGTACATAACAGCTGACCTAGTTGAATGGTTGATTTATTTTATGGAAAAGGCCAGTGAATTAGTCCTTTATACTTTTAACACAAGCTTCAACAATAAACTCTACAGCATTTAGGAGGTCCTTTTGAATATTCTTTCACAAAATCTACCACAGATGTTTGGCATCGTAGGAGAAACCCTCACTGCAAGTTACTTTACATTCTTCCATAAAACATAATTGGAGGCACTTAGAAACAAAACATTTAAAGGAATGAACTACAAGTCCCCACATCTGTCATGAAATTGAGATGCTTCATCCCATGCTTGTAAAAACTAAAACAAACTACAGCATTTGCGTTCTTCCCATACTATCCTTTGAACAAATGGAGCTCTGCTTTTCCAAACTTAATTCCAGATCTGGCCTTTAAAGTGAGCTGGAGAACTTTTAGGGTGGCATGGATCAGACAGACCTCCTGCTTGAACTGAGTTAGACTGGGTGGTCTCTATATACTCCCCCTCCCCTCCATTTAAACTCCATGTGTTTGGTATGGACTAATGTTTAATACGTCATAGGAAAGTAATCAGAGATACTGATAGTCAACCAATTCTGAAGATTTATTGACTACAAAATAAACATAATTAAGGCCTCCCAAATCTGAATGATTGTTAACGATTAAACAAAATGAGAGGTCCAGCAAAATATTAGAGCACTTCACAATGTCCTCTTTTGCCTTCTTTTGTTTTCCATAGTAATGTAGATCAAATAAATATTTCAGACAAACCCACAGTAATAACAGAATGAGAGATAGTTACCTAACATGATGAAGGGAATTCCCAGGAAGGTAGAATTATATTTCCCACCAGTCAGATTAATGATTCCAGCTGCAGTGAGAGTGGCCAGAGTCACAGTTAACAAGCCAAGGAGGCCAAGCCAAGGCTTGCTGCGAACACAGTCTTGCATGGAACAACAGAGCATTGCCAAGGTCACCACAAGGACTAGGCTTGTGGTTAGGTAATGTTCTGATACCCTACTTGTCTTCTGGAAGTCTTTTTGAAGGGACGATGAAGTGAAAGGATACATTGTGACATTCCGGTTGGATTTCTGGAAAAGTTCTACTGTGTCACAGAAGTTGGATTCCCATTTTTCTGCTACAGCATCATTTAAGGAGTTGATTGCCTGCAAGTAATAGGTAAGCTGAATGGCTTCGGCAGACTTTACCCGATCTTTGCTGTGCACAGTGACTCCACCAAGCTGGTGCCCATTGTATACTTCCCTGCCATCCTTTAAGTGTGTGATTGGATATGTGATAGCAAAATTAGTTTGATTAGACAAGCGAGCAGCCTTCAATTCCTTCAGGACATGTATAATGTCATCCACTATGCAGGACTTGTCATTATTTAGGATGCAGATATGAGCAAACGTGTAATTGAAACCAGATCTTTGTACTTGGATCCTGGTCACAGCAGAATGCAACTACAAGGGAGAGAAAAATCACACATATTATTTATCATCCGATAATCTTGTATTTTAACAACAGAACGGCAGCAGCAACTAGATCAACATCATGTTTCTTCTTATCTAACCAAGCAAGCTGGTTTTAATAACTGAAGCACTAATTGTAAGTGCCCTCTGAAAATGAAAAACATGCATTAAAGTATTGTTATCATTCCCCAACACCATTTTCTATAACTTAATTAACTTCTGGCAAAAGAAACACTGTGTGTCTCAGTTGGTTGCTCTCTGTCTTTTCACACACTCAAATAGACTCTCCCCACCTTTAGGAAAGCAAGCAAGTTTCAGTTCAGAAGTTATTTATTACGAGCAAAAAAGAACTTTGTTGCAATCAGATCAAAATTGCTTTCTTATCTAAAAGAAAATGAAACAAACAATAATGTTCCCATACCATTTAGCCACAGTCATGTTTGAGTTGAAATTGATTCCTGGTTAATGCATGGTCACATCCATGTATTTTTCTTGGCAACAACACCTCCCTCCTTCCAAGATGTTTTCTGACTCTCCAGTCTAGCTTACAGCCCTGGTACTCTTTGATGGTCTCCCATCCAAGGACTGACTAGGTCCAGTGGTCGCATTACAGTGTGATTCCTGAATGGTAGATTGACCAATATACAACTCAAAGAGGTAGAAGTCCTGTGAAGGTAGATCACTGCTTTGAAGATATGTACACCTATAAAAGATTTTACAGAGCTATTGGGCTTTCCAAGGTTGAAGCTTCGGAGAGCCTTGAGCAGTATGACTGGCTAGGATTAATCTTTATTATAGTTCAGGAATGGTAGCTCTTGCAAACACCTACTGAGCATGGAGTGGATAAAGAAGTTTTACTCTTTCTTATTTCCCAAATCTCTTCCTGTTTAATGGAGTTCTTGCTTTTGTTTCTCAAGTTGAATGAGTAGTCACTGCATGTTTATATGGTCCACATTCCTACTCTGAATCTCTTCCCACTAAAGAATTCAGACAGATATATACAGCAGCCCAGAGCTTTTGTACTTTCCGGAGGTCTCCCATTCCAGTATTAACCAGGTATGGTGATTCCAAATGCCAACACAAAGAACTGGAAACATTTTGAAAGTGGATCACTGCTTCTGTATACATTTAACACATTTTATTGTCTTTTCTATTATTTCTTTTATTTCTGGATTATGCTGATAATAAACAGAAGATATTGTTCAAATAGGAATCATTGCTGTTGCAGTATCTATTTTGTTCTACTTTAGCCATGATAGCTAACGTACAAAAAACAGAAATGGTAAGTATTATCTTCAAACTTCTGTTTGTGTTGAAGCTCACTCAGCTAGCCTAATAACCTTTGCAAATAACTGAACAGTTATATCTCAACTAATGTTACTGCATTTTATGTACTTAATTATTCTTTCTTAAAGATGACTACATAAAAACCTATATGAATAGAATACACTTCTTTCCTACTTAACAAGAATTACTATACTGCATATAAATATTTTCCTTTGAACACTAGCACTGTTTTTAGATTCAGATTCTATATACAGTTATCCAAGTAAGTCCAATTAAAATCAAGGAACATTGTGTTAGATCTTTGATTAGAGATTTTTTTAGTTTGGACATAAATCACAGATAAAGCATAATATATTATATTAATTCATTTGTTGTTGAAAGTTTATTTGTTGTGTATTTGGAAAGTTATGGAGCTGCTCACATGTGGTATCTTCCTTCTTCCTTACACCAATAAAGCTGCCCAAAGTCTATGCTGAGTGGAGCAGCTTTTGTAAATCTAAATTATAAATAAATAAATAAATAAATAAATAAATAAATAAAATTAACTACAGACTCTCAGTAGTTCACAGTAACAATCAACCATAAAATCTCCACCATGTAAGATCAAAACTTTAAAACATCCATAATAAGAATATATAATCAAAAACAACTAGAGGAAGCTTAACCTATTAATAATGATGATGATGATAATAATAATAACAACAACCCCCCAGTGAGGCACTACCTTGACATGGTTGTGGGGCTTGCATGCTCCGAGGAGGATGAGAGCATGCCAGAGGTTCAATCATATTGGACAGGTCTCATTAGAGGAGCCAGACAAAGAGTGTCTCTCCCATAAACAATATGGTGAGATGTAATTTACAGAAACCTATACTGGATCAGTCACTGCCTGAGTCAACAAGGACCTTGCTCTGTGTTCTAGTTCCTGGATATCTGGTGAAAAGTGGGCTACAGGACTCAGGGCTGTTGGCTGAGCAACCAGGGCCAGCAGCTGCAGAACTACTGGAAGAAAAGTTGTTTACCC